GGTAGAATTCATGAAGTGTCCCCACCGTGTGTGTGTGTGTGTGTGTGTGTGTGTGTGTGTGTGTGTGTGTGTGTTTCTAGACCAGAGGTCATCCTCAGGTGCTGTCCTTGCCAATCAAGCCAGGCTGCTGGGCTAAAGAGCCCCAAGGGTCCAACCATCTCCATCTAAGTACTTTACCAAGTAAGTCATCTCCCCAACCTCACATGGCTTCTTGTTTGGAGTGATAACTTCCTGTTATAAAATTTAAAAATCTACCTAGCATTAGATAGAATTTCGTTGAAATGAAACCATTTGGTACTAATGTGGGCCATGCTTCCAAAATGGAGAGTTGATCCTGTGCAGAAACTTACTATGATTAACCTATCCCCAAACCATTGGTTCCTGAAAGTGGGTAGATGAACACTATGCACTTATTAACGTGATGGTGATGATATTGAGGCTCTGGTGAAGGTTTCATGGCAGCTATAAGAAAGTACAAAGACCAGCATAACTTTTTCAGTTGTAGTTTCCCATACCAGGAAGTCTATGCACCCCCTCCTTTATCTCTGTCTGGTTCATTCTCTTACCTGCCTGCCTTGTGTTGGCCTGCTTTCCCTAGGATGGATCCTGAAGCTGCCCAGCTGGAGAAGCAGCATGTGCATGATGTGTATGAAAGCACAGCCCCCTACTTCAGTGACCTGCAGAACAAAGCTTGGCCACGAGTCCGCCAGTTCCTGCAGGACCAGAAGCCAGGCAGCCTCATTGCTGACATTGGTAACGCAGGCTTTTGTTTTCCCATGTGTAGTCTGATGCATACCCAGTTGTACCTATCCTTTTCATTCATATCTCAGTTTCATTCTAACAAGAAATGCAACGTTATGTTAGCAGCATGCTAGTCTCTAGAATATTCACTTTATAGCAAAAGTTCTTATCATCAAAGTCATCAAGCAGGACACATCTCCCAACCTATATTCAGAGAAAGCAGTGATCCACTCTAGCTTTTATGCACATCCTCCATCAAAATCAACCATCACGGATGGAATAAATAAGGATGGAAATGATGTGACATTAGTGGTTTCCAATGTAGAGACTTTCACATTTGTAAGATGTGTTTTGTATACTTGGCTCATCTTGAGACATTCCATCTGCCTCTAAGAAAGAGTCAAACTCATAAGATCATGAATGAAGTCTTGTACCCTTTCTTTATTCTGATGGGCCCCTCCCCTTATTTTGTAGGCATTGAATTGTTAGAGCATATCTTTAATTGGGTAGCACTTCCATAAACACTGATGTATCTGGGGGGCTTCAGCACAGCACCTTTCTGAATTGAGAAGTGGTAAACCACAATTTAAAGACTAAGATCGAAGGTGTGGTTGGATCTCTACTTCCCACTAACTCTCCTCTCCAGGAATCACAAGTTTGCTGTGTCCAGAAGAATCATAAGTCTCTAGTTACTCATTCTTAGCCTATGTTGACATCTCCCTTAATATTGATGGGAGAAACTGCTGTGTGTGCAGTTTGACAGAGAATAAGCAGTTTAGAGTCTGGGAAGAGGTTTGTACCATGCTGAAATCAGGAGTCTGAGAAAAAAAAAAAGATCTCTAGCCTGTCAGTTTTTAAAAATAAATATGATGTCTTGGGCTTGGGGATGTGGTTGAGGGGTAGCACGCATGGTCTCCATATTTAGAACCCTGGGTTCAAATCCCAGTACCACAAAAAGGGGAAGGGTATCTGGTTTCAGAGGATGAAGTGAGTTCAGGGCTCCTAATGTCCACTGCCCATGCAAAGTGTAAGACTTTGATACGGGTCGGGAGGAAAGGGGTAATTCACTCAGGAGGCTTGAGATAACTGTATAATGAGATGGTGCTGTTATTACATCTTACCCAAAAATTAGTTCAAAAATGAAGCAAAGGTTTAAGTGTAAGAAAATGAAATTATTGAAGGAGAATGAAATTGTTTTTAAAGTAGTGCTAAGACAAAAGGTTTCTCTACGTCTTCAGACTTCTTTCATCCATGCTTTAAAAGAAAAAAGTTATAAAAGAAACAAATTGATTGTCATTATTTGTAGTGTGTTCTAAGTGTATGGTAAACACTGGATTGGTGAACACCAACTCACTGTCCTGAGAAAACATCTTAAAGGTTCAGATACATACTGAGCACATATTTTTGTCACTTTACTGTCTTTCTTTGTATTTCTGTTTAAGGATGTCTTGTTCACTGTATATTTCTGGTTTGGTAGCATCAAATTCTCAGTCAATACATTATACTCATGCTTGAACAATGCATTGTCTCATGTATTCTGCCCACAGACACTGTATCTATCTGTGAACTCTCAGTGAACACAGAATGCTTCAGGGAGCAGGGGTGCATTTTAAAAAAAAAAAAAGCCAAAACACACACAGAGTGCAAATGCTTAGGTATGAACTAAACTGTGAGAAAGTCACATAGAAACTGGGTAGTCAAGAGCAAAGAAGAATTTATTTATTTGGGCTTTATTAGGATAGCAAGGTGGGAGACACCAAATTGTGGTAGCTGTGAGGGTGTGCTCTTAGGTCTTACAAAAGTATCATTGGTGTAACTAAAACTGTGAGGAGGCTGCCAATTATACCTCTGTTGGCCAGGACTTGCGGCTGATGCAGTAAGAGTTTACAAGAAAGGAATTAGCCACAGTCTGTCTCTGGGCAGTTTAGTGAGAGAGAGGAAGGTGTGGTTTCACAAACATTTAGAAAGCTGGCAGGATTCCTCCCAGAAAATTGTACTTGGCACCAGATCATGAGGTCCACATGAACCTGGGTGGGTACCAGAGAGTTCGGTTCAAAAGTTCGCCTGTCATAAGCCTGATATATGGTTGGCTCAGCAGGGCCTGGCAACTCATTTTTTTTTTAAATAAAAAAAAATTATATTTACTTAGAAGCATTCAGAATGTCAACAAAACAGCTGCAATTTTTTTTTTTTTTTTTTGCAATTACAGAGTGGTATTCAGTTAACAGAACAACAATTATCTTCGTAATAAGCTGCATCAGAGACAACTGAAGATGAAAAAAAAAACAAAAACAAAAACTAAAAACAAACAAACAAAAACCTACCATCCCCATATATAACTAATCTGTGCTGTGCACCAACAAGAACCTGCTTTAAATTTCCATGCCAATTTACAACCCCCAGACTGGACCAGGCAAGGTTAGTGGCTATTGAGAATACCACCAGGATGGGGCTATCTAAACACACATTTGGTAGTGTGTTAACTATACAAAAAAAGACACTGTACAGTTTAAAAACAAATCTTACACAGCCTTACATTTCAATTTTTTTCTTTAAAAGGAGTGAGTTGTGTACAGGGGGGTTAAATGCTTTATAGACAAGAAAAAAACTGCGCTAGAACCAACTTATTCATCATCATCATCTTCTTCATCTTCGTCTTCCTCTTCTTCCTCCTCTTCCTCATCCCCTTCATCCTCCTCCTCATCTTCTTCTTCCTTCTTTTTCTTGCTCTTTTCAGCCTTAACGACCCCCTTCTTCACCGCATCAGGTTTTCCTTTAGCTCTGTAGGCAGCAATGTCCTTCTCGTACTTCTCCTTCAGCTCGGCAGCCTTCTTCTCGTAGGGCCGTTTGTCGTCCACAGCGGTGTTGTTCCACATCTCCCCCAGCTTCTTCGCCACGTCCCCGGTGGACAAGCCGGGGTGCTCTCCTTTGATTTTGGGGCGATACTCAGAACAGAACAAGAAGGCCGAAGGAGACCTCTTGGGTACATTGGGGTCCTTGAACTTCTTTTTGGTCTCCCCTTTGCGGGGTGGATGTAGGTTTTCATTTCTCTCTCATAACAAGCCTTGTCAGCCTTTGCCATGTCTTCAAATTTCCCCTTTTCTTTAGCAGACATGGTCTTCCACCTTTCTGAGTACTTCTTCGAGAACTCTGAGAAGTTGACAGAAGCATCCGGGTGCTTCTTGTGTTCCTCCCGGCAAGTTTGCACAAAGAATACATAGGAGGACATTTTGCCTCTCGCTTCTTAGGATCTCCTTTGCACATGTTTAGTTGATTTTCCTCCGTGAGGCACAGAGTCGCCCAGTGCCCCGTCCGGCTCGCACTGGCCCCGGCGCTCTCTATGGAGCTCAATGTACTGCAATGGCTGTGAGAGCGGGAGCCAGCCTGGCAACTCATTTTAAGTGTCCAGAACCAATGACTCCACTTTGATTTTCTTCACTGACAACAATGTGAGAATGGCAACCCCTCAGACTCTTTTGTTGCCTGTAGATGTAACCAACCGTTTTATTAAATAAGAAACACAGAACCAATGCAAAGAAGAAAGCCAAAAGATCAGAGCTAAGAGCCTTCCCTGCCTGCTGCAGCTAGCCAAGAGACCTCTCCGAAAAAGGGGCCTATTTCCTGTGTGTTTGTCTTTATATAGTCTTTCTGTTCTGCCTTCTCATTGGTTGTAAACCCAAACACATGACTGCCTCGTCACTGCCTGTTTGTACAGCCCTCCAGGTCTTTTATGGTATTGAGATTAAAGGCGTGTGTCTCCAATGCTGGCTGTATCCTTGACCACATAGAGATCTACCTAGCTCTGCCTACCAAATTCTGGGATTAAAGGCGTGTGCCACGAACTCCCAGCTCTGTTATGGCTTGCTATTAGCTCTGACCCCCAAGCAACTTTATTTATTTATTTATTTATTTATTTATTCATTCATTCATTCATTCATTCATTCATTTATTTATGTTGTTTTTTGTTTTTTCAAGACAGGGTTTCTTTGTGTAGCTTTGTGCCTTTCCTGGAACTCACTTGGTAGACCAGGCTGGCCTCGAACTCACAGAGATCTGCCTGCCTCTGCCTTCCGAGTGCTGGGATTAAAGGCGTGCGCCACCACCGCCCGGCCACAACTTTATTTGTTAACATACAATTAAAATCACATTGCAGTACAAATAAAATACCACCATAGTTGCCTGATAGTGTACATTCCTGGATGACCATGCAAATGGTGTATAGGCCAATTTTAGGGCTATGAATAAAGTTTAGCAGATAGATGATCAGCAAATATGGAATCGTCAGTAATGCACAAAGACTGTATTAATAACTTCAATCCCATAAAAATTAAAAAAGTTTTAAGATGAAAATCTAGGTGACTATATAAAGTTTAAAGATCAAAAAGCAAACTAACTAATATATCTGCAATACTTCTAATAGAAAACCACACGTGCCGGGCGGTGGTGGCGCACGCCTTTAATCCCAGCACTCGGGAGGCAGAGGCAGGCGGATCTCTGTGAGTTCGAGGCCAGCCTGGG